AAGATGCTCGTCTGAAATTTTTCGTTCTTATTTTATTTTCTGCGTGTTGACACATATGGGAAAAAAAATCTGTTCGCAAATGTAGAAGTGCTGGATATTTTTCTTTGGGCATAGTTCACAAAATAGAGACACTTGGATAAATTCCAGAACTCTAATAAAGACTAATTATCTAAGATTATCTATTATCTAAGACACTTAGATAAATTTCAATTTCCTTTATATTCAACTGAGACTGGAGTACCAAGCATGCCAACCATCTGGGATAAAAAATATTTCGCTGGCTCTTGGAAATTATTCGTAGCTAAATTTAAAAGAAAAAGTTACGATTATTCAAATAATAAAATTCTCATTCAATTATTGGTTATACAGCGCAAGCTTCATAAATAGGACGTTCTAATAACCATAAGCCTGGTGTACTTATTTTCATACATAAAATACGACACCAGTCACATCTAGAATTAACCAATAAGTTCATAATAACTACATAATTAAGTTAGACATAATACATAATAAGTTTAACAACTACTCGATAAATTTATCAAACTCGATTCTCTCGAAAACGAAACAATTTCATCCCTTCTTTTCTACACCTCCACGTTTGACCACGAGTCGCTGGCCGATTGATCATTCTGTGTCAATCTTTTTCAGAGACCATCTTACTTGTGTACGCTGTTGCGAGACAGACTGTACACAATCGATCGACTCTCGTCAATAATATAATATTATCCAACACGTTCGGTGATCAAGCGAAACGTAATCGAGTGAAATGAAAAGAAAATGACGAAAAAGTGTGAAGCTTGAACTGGCTCGTTTTTTTTGTTTGCTAGAGAGAGAGAGAGAGAGGATCCAATAAACGCGGCGACGAACAAGCGCGAACGTTTCGAACTTCGAGGTCGCCTTTTTTTCTTTTTTTTTTTTTTTTTTGGAAATCGATGGAGCGCGGTCGAGGTGGTGAGCTCCAAGTATGCGAGATAAACGGTGGCAAGCGGTGTACAGGTTGTTCAACTGGTTGAAATTGATTGGATAGTTTGCGGTCAATTCGAGCTGTGTACACGAGCGAAGCAGGTTGCCACTCCGAGATGAACAAGGCGTGTTCGAATGGGAACGCCAACTAGTCGAGAGTTTCAATCCGCTTTGCCGAGAGAATTTTGGCAGAACGACGTTTTCGCGTTCTGGCAGCTGTCCTGGACAAGCTCTCGACCCGATCGTTTCGCGGAATTTACCCGCATCTGTCGGACATTCTCGCCGTCGACACGCAGCTTTCTTTCCCTTTTCGTCAGTTCTTCGCGATTCGTTCGATCTACGATCTGCAGGATCGTTCTCTCGTTAAACGCGCTAAACTCGGTAAAATTCGATGACGTTTTCAGCTCTAAGAATGTGGTGGAACGACTCGTTGTTGTTGCTTGTAAATCCAGTTTATTGAGCATTGTCCAAATTTACATTGAGGTAGAATAATTGTCACCAATGAACGCGAGATTACGATTTATTTGGTTCGCTTCTCAATCGTTTAAATCGTTAGAGTTAGAACACGCAGAGTATGTGCAGTTGTTGTGAAGTTGAATTAAACTGTGAGAATTTTATTATCGTTTAATCAATATTATTTACGAAATTTGAACATTCGTAATTTCCTTATTGAACAAAAGATCAATATATCTGGAAGGAATTAGAAATATAATTTACTTTTTTGGAATGACATTCCTCGAAGCAAGGTATGACACATAATGATACCTCGCTCGATTCTTTTCGTATATTATTTTCCCGAACACACAGTAAACATCTTCGTGTAGATTTAATTTTCAACGATGTGCTTGACAAGTAGTCTGGAAAATGTTTTCCGATGAAACGTGTAGGTTTCGTTGTAGATTGCTGACCAACTGATGTTGTACGTGTATCTTCAATTAGATGTAATTATAATATTTAATACATCAACAATTAATAACAATACAGCAATTAATAACAGTAAGATTTTCGATAAACTCCATAAGCAGAGAGTTAATCGTGATAATTTTGCATTATCCTTTCTTACATAACAAACATGAATACAAATAAATAACGTCTAAACAATGATGTGTGTACATAGAAATTATATATGTATCCAGATTGAATTTCGTAGAATACAAAAGTATTTAGAAACTATATAAAAAGAACTAGTCGAATCTCAAAATATTCCAAAATGTCTAAGATACGTTTTATTTTTCACAGAGAATTCAATTTAAGTAGCAAATTGTAATTATACTTTTGACGACCTAACTTAACCTAAACTTATATATATCTATCTTTATATTATAAAGATATATATATATAGGTTATATATATTCACAGCTAAAAGAGCTTAATTTCTCGCAGAGTTCGCCTTATGAAGTTATTTCTGTCCAATGAATCTTTTCTTTTTAAGTAAAAATGATAAACTTAGCAAAAATCAGAATCTAACCTAACATGACCTATATTAACATCTTGCGCTCGCATAACATGCCACGCATGTCGAGAATTTTTTGTCCCAAAATTGCAACATTTCCTCAGTTTTAAGTATATTTAAATATAACCCCGACAAAACAAATAATAAATTTATTACTAATCAGTAATTTCTATCC